TAGAAATAAGGAGAAATTTTCTGACAGTGAGAACAAGCAACCAGTGGAACAGTTTGCCTTCAGATGTTGTGGGAGCTTCATCACTGGAGATTTTCAAGAAGAGACTGGACTGCCATCTGTCAGAAATGGTGTAGGGACTCCTGTTTGGGCAGGGGGTTGGACTAGATGACCTACAAGGTCCCTTCCAACTCTGTTATTCTATTCTATTCTATTCTATTCTATTCTATTCTATTCTAATAGGTCTGCAGTTTTTTTTTAATTCTTTCAGAAGAACTGTGTGGCAAAGATGTATCTTCACTCTATTAAAAAAAACATAGTACTTGCATAGAGATGATGCGTGTGCATCATTCCTCATCCCCCTCTCTGAACTCAGCAGCTAAAATTTTTTTAAGATCTCATCCTGGTAAAACTCTCAGAAACGTTTCTCAACTATAATCCGATGTGTATCACACTGTCCTAGGAATGTATTATTTTATAGTTTTCTTAATGCATGGCTTTGCAGTTCATGACATAAGATACAAAATTATTTGCATGATTCTGATTTTTTTTTTTAAAAAAAAACGTGTTTGTTGCAGAAAGAGGGAGAATTATCCAGGTAATCAAATAAAAAATTAAATATCAAAATCTGTTTAAAAGATGCCATTTGAATGATTTAATATTATATATTTCCTTTATGGTCCACATTTACTTTCTTTGACACGTATTTTAGTGATGCCTATTCTTTTTACTTACAATGGCATATACAATGGCATTCATTGTTTAAAAACCCTCTGATTTCTCCAGCGTAAGAAGATTGAAACATAAATGTACAAATTACATGTAACTTTTTTTTTAAAAAAAAAAACTAAACTTAAAGACTATTATGGGAAATAATTATTTTCAGCCTCCTCCCCGTCCCCTCGTGTCTTTTTCTAATTTTTTCAGCAAAGTTTTCTGTAAAGCTTTATTTTTAATCAAATTCTTTCTGATGGTTTAGGGTCCGTGCTTTTTTGGGGGGGAGGGAGAGCTTTCCTTTACAAGGAAGCTGCAATAATGTGCTTTGAAGTTACTCTGCTTTGCTTGCCCACTTTAGTCCGCGCATCACTGTCATATTGCTTCTGAGCAAACCGGCAAAAAAAAAAAAAAGGGAAGATAGTTAAACATCTTGCCGTTTATGAACAGGGAGAGGGCAAGCAGGCACCGTTGCACCTTGACCACCTATTATGAAGCTCTTTGCTGCAATGTCAAGTGAAAGCAAGTTAATTGGGTGAAGCTGTAGAGCATGTTAGGGGCATAGTAAAGGGATGCTATCTGACAGCTGAGTGTCAGCAAGAGCTACTCAACTGTGGCTGAGAGACAGAGACCTGTCACAAAGTTCACGCATGCTGCAGCACAGTTAGGGGAGTTGAAATGTGGGTTCGGTCTCACTTTCTCCCTCATTGCATTCCGGCACCTTAAGATTTCACACTGGATGTGTCAACCCTTGTTCTCTAAGCTGTTTTTTCCTTTTTTCCTCCCGAATTCAAATGACTGGACAAAAAGATGCTAATGTTTGGCAAAGTGAATGTAAATATCATCTTTCATTCTCGCTTCACGCTTTCCCCCCCCTCCCTTCCTCTCCCTTTCCAAAGCGAAGAATCTACATCGGGCTCCGAGACTCTGAGACAAAAATTAGACCGCCGGGAGGGCACTAGAGGGACACACATCTCCATAAAGGGTTCTGGAGCCTGGCGATTAAAGGTCGCTGGTTAACAATCTGGGCAGCAGAACTTTTGCCTCTTCAGATCTTTCGCAGACGAATCCCTTACCTGAGATTCTTGCAAGGTGGCCACCCCATCTGTTCGTTTGGATGCCCCCTGCCGCCAGCCCCAGCAATTCAAATGAATGGAGCAATTTGAAAAAACAAAGTCTGGGAGTAAATTAAGAGAAAGCGGTGATAAAGGATCCTGTCGTTGGCATTTCAGCTGTAACTTTTAGAGCTACAGTAGGGCGAACTCAGTCCGTATTATTACTCTGTGAAACAACGCAATACCTAGATCTTGAACAGATGCTGAATGAGAATGGCATACAGCCACAGTGCCCAACCTAAACAAAAGCAAAACAAAGAAATATTCAAGATGACGAAAGTGCCAGCATTCTTCATCTGGTTCTTCCGGATATCTTGAGACCAACTCATAAAATGGATATGATGGCTGGGAAGGGTAGACAGCAAATGCAAAGAAGGTTCTAAGGATCTGTTAAAAACAAGTTTTTGTTTATGTATTTGGTCAAACAAATGTATTACAAATTTTCCCTCTGTGCTCCTTTTCTGCAACCTTTTTAAAGAACTTTAGAGGTTCATTTACATTTATAAGGCAGTCAACATAGGCTTGGGTTCCTTTTGTTTTTTGTTAAAGGGGCTGGTCTACAGTGTTTACTCTACTATTATATCCTTGGAGACTATTGTCTCTGAAAAAGTTGTTTACCATCCCAACATATTAATCCTTTTGACTGTGGTGGATGCTTTTCTACAGTTACTCTAAGTGCATTAATCCTGCCCAGTGCCAAATAGCAAAGCAAAGTAGAGATGCTGAAGAAATCAACCATTTTAACCCAGAGATGGATTTCTTGAGTTATTTCAATGTAGGCAAGAACGCTCAGAAATTCCACCCTCCACCAGTCCATGTGTTTGCTTTATCATGGAAGGTGAGGACTATTAATGGCCAAGGCCACAGTAGCCCTGATTTCCATCCCATTGTTGTTCTTTAATTCTACCTGAGCAACTTAGGAGAAGCAACCTGACCATAGAGTGGAAACCTTGCTAACCAACCCCCCCGCCCCATCACCTTTACCAAATGTTGAAGCCTTTTCTATTTCTATTGACTAGCTGCCAATCATTACGTTTCATACTTTTGTTGAGCATGGCTCCCTAAGGAAACCTGTTTTTTGTTTTTTACCCTCTCCCCTCCTTTGGACTTTTGAGGTTGTTTTCATCCTTCTTCCTTTTCTTCCCATTGTTTGTTTCTTTAAAAAAAAGAGGGTGGCTTGTTTTTGAGGAGTAAACAAACATGAGCCCCAAAATGTCCTTTCGCCAGGATAAGCAGGTTGATTTGAAGAGACAGTGGTGCCAGCACACATGCACATTTAGCTGACCTTTAGCTCCTACTATTTATTGATGTCATTTACTTAAGCAAGACATTTAGCCTGATCGTCGGTCTGCAGCCTCATTTAAAATACAGCACACATTTGTACAGAAGCTCTTCCTTCTCTCGAAGCAAATGAAGACATCCCAATCTTTTCTATTGTTTCTTTGATATTGTGCTTAAATGTTCAGATAAACGTATTGTATAACTTGCTGATTTAAATAATAGATGTGCAAATACCTGACTTTGATGAGAATAGCCCGGCTGTTAGACTAAAATCCACTAGTCCTGAAGACTGTGTGTTTCTATTTTGTGTACAAATTAATATTAGTCAAAATTTGGATTGCTAACAAAGAATTAAGGGAGAACTGGAATAGCCATTTTGAACTTTTTAGTTCTTTTCAACCAGACATATCCTTCTGAGATTCGAACCTGGGCTGTCTGCATGTTAGGCAGATGTATTAACCTCTAGGCCACAGGCTCTTTCTCACTTTGTCAGCTATGAGACAGGGGAGAAGAATTATCTTGAGTTTGGTGCACCCTGTCGGCCCAAATCTAGTTTGGAAACATTGCAGAACTGAAAGTATGACTAGTTTTAAAACATCTCCTTGGGGTAACCTTTTGAAATTGCTGCCGTATGGATAGGTCTTAAAGGTCCAGCTTTTCACCCGAGCTCCAAGATACCTTGTGTAATACCAGAAAATCAAAGAGCCAACATCAAAGAAAAGTGCTGATAGATAGAGCCATTGATTTTCCATTCTTCCCAGGAACAGTAATAGAACTGGGAAGGAAAAGCTCTTAAAAAAAAAAAAAAGCCCCCCAGAATTCACAGTAGCAGAATTCCAAATATTGCCTTTATATCTAACAACTTTATTGATTTGTTTTGCCTGCCAAATGTAAGCCATGGCATTTCGACAATGGCGCATTGTGAGTGGTCTGTTTTAGATTCTTGTGTGTGTATATATTTAACTGAGATTGTATGTTTTAAAGCAGGGGTCCCCAACTCCTGGGCCCCAGCTTGGTTCCAGTCCGCAGCCTGATGGATACAGCCTTTTTAAAATCTCCTAGCCCTACTGTATTCAAACAATGTTAATGTACAATCTGGAAAATTTGCCTGGGTTTACTAGATATTTCGGAAAACAAGAATTCAATTTGCAAGTGATTTCTTTTATTGTGCACGGACTCTTAGTTTTTAATCAGTTCTCGGGACTCTCCTTGTGGAAAGCAAAATATGGTTATTTACAACTTTTAAAATATTCCAGACAAAGAATGATAAAACGGGTAAATATTTAAAACTCATGACCATTTCCACCATCTTTTCTCAAAAAGGGTTTAGTAAACACTTCTGTTTTTTTTATTTGTTGTTTGTAAGACTTACTTTAAATTTAAGAAATCCATGTAGTCAGATGTGCAGATAATTGTAAACCAATGTACGACAGCAGACTTTTTAGCTGTATTCAAATATTTAAAAAGAACGTATGTCATCAAAGCATCGTATAAGCCAAAGGATCAACTGCACTTTTAGAAGTTGTTATTAATGGGTGCAGTCAATAGATATGTACAGTATACTTAAATCCCTTTGAAATCAGTGGGGCTTAAAGTTACGCATATTTCATGTAATCCTCATTTAGCGACCACAGTTGGAACCATCAATTTGGTCACTAAGTGAAACCACAGCCATGCTTACCGTCATACTTCACTTTTCCTTTGCTTTACAAACTCAAGAAGGTTGTAAATGTGAAAATCGATTGTGAAGTTACTTTTCATCACCATCGTAATTACAAATAATCGCTCAATGAGGCAATTGCTAAACATGGACTACCTTCTAGAGGTGATAGCTTCGGTTTTTATAAAATAATTAATGGCAAATGTTTTTGTTGTCTTATTTTTTTTCCCCAGGATTCACGAAACGCTTCAAGCATCCTTACTGTGTCAAGCTCTTTACCCCAGCTAGATCAAGGCTGTCTTCCTGGATTTTTGCCACTAAAGTCCGACTCAGATTATGATCTGCCTTTTACCTTGGCACATAATAGACCTCCAATCTCATCATCCTTTCCTTCAAACCTACATGTCATGTCTGCCAAAAGAGCAATGCCAAATGGATGTTAGAATCTAGTCATTTTGTAAGCAGCTGAAAGAGAATTAATTAAAGTCCGATTTTATTAGGATGTTCTTAGCCTTTGAATTGAAGTTTGCTCTCTATGCATTTCTATGGCATTAATTTTACATTCTTCACCAAAGGAAGGAGGGGGCCGTGTTCCTATGTGCTGCATATCCCATGCCCAGCGTAACAGAAGGGTCATTTTTTAAAAAACAAAACAAAAACTTTTTATTTATCATAGTAGCTCATTTTTATGTAATATATTTTTAAATGTTAAAGAATGACACATTTGGGGTAATTTTCCACAGACTTTAAAAAAAAAATCAATAAGCCATTTTATTCTCTATCTATCAAAGTTGTTTCATACTTGTCTATTTTAAAACAGGGCTGCAATACTTTAATAGGATTGAGAGAGCTATTTGAAATGTATGCCAATGATTCCTGTCATTTCATGGCAGCCCTGCCATGGTTCACTGAGCCCTCTCTTCTCTCTTGTCAGCTCAACTGAAGACAAGCATTTAGTTGCAAACTTTAAGCAGGTTGTGCAAAACAGAAATGATGTGACTGCTTCTCCTCCTGCACAATTATGTCACTCCTGGTCAATGTGAGAAGGTCAGGTTGCGCCTTGTAAAGCTACATGATACCACTTGCCCATTTGAACAAGTTAAGTGCAGAATCCGGTCCCTAACGGCCCCCTTTTTATCAAGTCCGCATTTGATCAGGAAGTAAAAACAATGGTGTAAGGAGATTTAGAGAGGATGTGATTATGTGCTTTCATAAGGGCAGTTCTCCAGCCAGCATCGCAGGTAATAAATTTAGTCCGAGCTTCAAGACTTTAAAGTAATGGCTGCTCTGACCTTCAAAAATAAGCTCCTTTCTTTGTTGTGTTGTTGTTGGTAGGACCCAAGAGTGACGCCCATCTTTGATGCTGACAGAATTTAAAACAAGGCCATTGCCCTGCATTTTCTGCCTTGTAGCACACAAAAGTAAAATTGTATGTCAGGCCAAGATGTCGGGGAGCTGACAAGATGCCCCAGTGACATTTCAGCTGGAAAGAGCAAGTGTCTTGCAACCAAGTGGTCAAATATCAAATAATAGGTCAAGCAGGAAGGAGCTGAGTTCTAACCACAAAGAGGTTTCTGGTAACTTACTTGACAAGCTTTTGGGCGCTTTGTGGCTTGACAAAGTGATATTCTGTTGGGTATCGCTAGACAGTCTGTTCTTTATTGCCTTCAGAAGATCAGACATTGACATTGATTAAACTCTTTAACCCTTAAAGGTTAAATTCTGGCTGTATGCATCATTGTGAAGAAAGAACAAAAGAAATTTTGTAATATATACCATTTGTTATGGTATTAATCACCCCTACTCCCCAGCGCCATTAACATTTGATGTGTGATGTAGTTTTTGACAGGGTTATTGAATGCAAAATCTATATGTTAGATTGCTTCTCATTATAGATCAGAGATACATTAGAAAAATAACATTGTGCTTGATGGAATTTGTAATTTCTCATGCTTTGATAAGAGTAGGGTTTGATTCCATAAACCTGACTGCTAACATTTGTCTTTGTCCTATCATCCCAGAAGACATAAATTTGCATATGTAATACACCTACCACTCTCAGTAAAATCATGTAAATTCCTGACTGGTAATTCCAAAGCCACTCGGTAGAACTTTGAAATTTTTCAAGTATTTCTTATTTTAAGTTTTCAAGAGGGTTTTCATGCCTGCAGTTGCAACTGTGCTCATTTAAAAATGAGCAAATCATTTTTGGAAGAGGTACTCTCTTCATAGCATGTTATCTCTGGTTTATTTAAGGCAATTTTTGTTTTCCTTCTGACTATTTCTACCAAGAGAAAAACCAGAAAAAACGTAACATGTGTTATTCCAATCAGAGATTGCTTATCTTTTCCATATGAAATTTTAGCATGCTTCATTTTGTGCTGTTTTTCGTTTTTTTTAATCACTATACATACTTAGGCTTTTTAAAAAGAGGGATAAGATGGAAATCTGATGATTTGCGTATCAGTTGTATAATAAGTCACGGTTTGAGATTAAAATCAACATAAATAATTTAAACATTGGTTTTAGAGGATTGGAACAGATCTGATTTGCCTCTTTTTTTTTTTTTAGTTACAGAGCACTGGAAATTCATAAAGGAATGTATAGACAGATCTACCTTTTACGAGCAATGAGTCTTAATGTTTTTAAACAGAGAGTTTTCAAAGCAGGGTGATCACAGCTAATATTCCCTGGAAGTAGTTACGGCTACATTACAGAGCAGGTATAAGAGCAGCAGTCTTAGATCTTTTTATCGCAGCATTTCCCAAGGAAACAGTATATACCAACCCAGAGTAAAATTTGTTCCCATTGTTTTATTCCCTGCTGCTCACAGCAATGTTTTCTTACCAAATTAGGATTTGCACAGTTCTGCTTATATTTGCTATTTATACAAAATACACCTGTATTCATGAATTCATGTATAAAATTCTCTCTCCCAATATTTTTTCCTCTTTTCTGATCTCAGCATTCTGATCAACATTCAGGAGGAGCGCTTGTGTTTGTGTGTGCGTAGAGGTCAAGCTTTATTAGCTCCACATTTAGAAATCTAATTAATTACAACTGCAGCCAATGTAATGAAATCACAATTCTATCATCAAACTTTCCTTAATCCGTGACATGCTTAGATGTTTATACTGTCAGTGATGATATTCAGAACTTATCAACCCTGTGAATAGAAAACACATGTAAAATTATTAAATGAACTCACTACTAGATGTCACTGCACAGAGAAATATTCAGCCAAGTAGAGGAATCAGGTCCATAGAATCTGACAGTTTGGCCTAAATAACAAATAACAGTTTGGTCTGTCACAACAGCATGACATAAGCCCTACAGCTTTTCCATTATGATATCGGGCATGTGCAAAAAGTGGCAGAGCCTACAGCATGAGACTTATTTTGTCCATTTCCTCAGACGTATATTCTCCTCATGCCTTCAAGATGAATGCGGATATATATTTAGTTCTGCTTGTGGAGATTTTGATGCTCTTTCAACTCTTAGCATCTCAGGTCTAACTGCTACAAGAGACGTCTCTATGGTGTACTTTCAAGAAATCTTGCTAACCAATAGTAAATTATTGCATTTCGTTTCTTCATTACCCATGTTAGCTTGTACAGTGTATCAATTGAATGGCACAGTATAATGGCTTGGCACATCCCCCTATTTGCATTGGCTGTTTGATACTAAGGTAAAGCCGAAATGAAAATACTCATCCAATCTTTTTGTCAAGAAAAGCATTTCCTTGTCTTGTCAGGTTTTTTTTTTCCTGCTTTGTGACAGTAGCATAACTTATATGCTCTGTCATCCAAAGATAGGTTACATTTTTAACAAGTGTATAACACAGATTTACAAACACTTTTTAATGAAATTTTGTTCTGGCTGTTTCAGTGGACATTTTTTCTTCATGTTTTACGTAATTATTAGTACTTACGTAAATTATACATAATGTGAAGATGAAAAATGATATATTTTTGCAAAGAAGCATTCGTTTTTCAAAGTTGTACTTAACGCACTCCACCAAAACAAGCCCAGTTAAGTTTTAATAATTGAAATTGAATAAGAGTTGTATCTAATGTCTAAGCTCATTCTATAATCCAGTTTATCTACCTGCTATAAAATAAGTAATGGAACATGTTTTTGAAGCCTTCTCAGCCACAGCTTCCATAAAATCTGTTAATATCATGGCTCTATTTTATGTCAACTGACGTGGCCCAACTGTCATCATTGTAATATTTACTAGAATTTTCAGGACATTTTTTAAAAAATATTTTGAAATGAACATCCCTATTTTAGTTGACAATAACCTCTCCACACCTTTATTTAATTTTTAGGTTTGAGCTACATAACATTTTTATCTAAGAGGCTTAACTTTCTATTGAAATTACAAACACACACAGTAAAGAAACGAATATTATTGTATGTTCCAACATGGCAGTGTATTAGCACCATGTGAATTGTAAATGTGGGGGCTGATGAAGGAAAGTAAGCAGAATGGAAGAGCATTTTAAGGAAGTAGATTTGACCATATTATACCTCTACCAATCTTAGCAATGCAGTAGGTTGGATTTAGCATTAAAATAGTAGGCTTGAAATAAAGTAATTTTTATTCTAAGAATATACCGGTACTTCTGCTTCCAGGCTTAGTTTCAAAACTCGCCAGAGATTTTGCCATATCGCTAGCATATTTTTTTTCTAATCTACATCATTTACTAGGACTCCACACATGCTTTTCAGAAGCATTTTCTTGCTAAAGGAAATACATTTATTTTTGATATACAAAGCTGTTCTGGGCAATGTGCTGAATAAAGGGACCCATGAAGGAATGCAAAACTTGTATTGGCATATTAGTTTATGTGCATCCAAAGAAACTTCTAGAGAAGCTACCAGGCTCCACATTTATACAGTATACTCCTAGCTGATATAAGCTCCCATTCAACCCACATCTAATGAGTTCTCAGTAGGCAAGCATAGGATTAGGCCAGAGGTAGGCAACCTCGGCTCTTTTATGACTCATGGACTTCAACTCCCAGAATTCCTGAGTCAGCTATGCTGACTCAGGAATTCTTGGAGTTGAAGTCCATGAGTCATAAAAGAGCCGAGGTTGCCTACCCCTAGGTTAGGCAATTAAAGTGTTAGAAGAGCATTCAATTTGAGATTGCTTATACACATTTTCTACACAGATAATTGAATGCAATCTTTAGTTTTTGGGATACCTGTTAGATTATGTCTGCAATTTTTAAAAAGCCTTTTTCTTACAGGAAACAACTTCTCCCTGTTAGTTTTGAAAAGCAATTTATATTTGATTATGATAAATTGTAGAAATCATCATGAGATGATCTGACAGCAAACAAGGGTGATTGCAAAATTTCCATCACCTCTGTTTGAATCAGGAACACCCAACTGGGAAAACAAAGCAGCAGCATCTTCCAAAGAGTAAGCCCCATTGAAGTCAATAGAATTTACTTTTGAGTTAGCTTTCATAGAATCACACTGAACAACTTTGCTTT